GGAGGAGTCTCTCCAAACTGGTAGACAATTAAACAAAGGCAGGTGTTTAAAAGAAGTGCAGAGTACAATTTTGCAAGCTTTCCTGGAGCCAAAACATGCAGAGCAGTGAATAGCAGGCTCCCTGGAAAGGTCCTGCATTGTAGGTAATTACCTACATTTCCAGGCTTATCAAACCTAAAGTAAAAAATAAACAGGGACCGCGCACAAATAGACATTCTGTTAAGCCCTGAATGCTGACAATAAGCTTCCTAAAGGAATAATGGGCCCATTTGAAGATTCATCTGTGCAGTGCCAAATAAAACTGCCTGCTGAGTGCTTATTTTCTTTCTCTAAAAAAAAATACTGGATATTTTTTGGATTTTCTAATGTTTCACGTAATCCTGCATCTACCTCCTAGAGACTCAGCATGTCCGTAACAAGAAGCTCTTCTAGTCTCACCTATTCCTTAGGATACAACACCCAGTTCAATGCTTTAAACCGACAGTCAGGTGCAGCATGGGCAGCAGCAAGGCAAGCTACGCAACACCTTCCTCCCCAACGTAGCTCAAGCCCTGTGCTGCGGGGACCACTGCCAGGAGTTCAATCTGGGCATCTCCCCCGAAATTGCCAGCAAAGGTGGCGAGGGGGACAGCCGCTAGCATGACGCGAACACCTGCCCACTCAGTAAGGCAGCTGCTGGGTCTGCAGTCTCATACCAAATTTACTCCGCAAATGGTTTATCGCATAAAACAATAATGGCAGAGGAAGAGACTCAGATGCAAGCAAGAGATATGTTCCGGGACCTGAAAGGAAACAGTGCGGCAGGAAGACAGCCCCCATCAGATAGTGATCAGTGTCTTTTGATGAACCTGGAGGTGGCGAAGCTCCACATCCTGTCCCCCAGCCCATCCCTGCCCCCGTCATTACAATTTTACAATTATTGTCACTAAAGCTGCCTCATGTGTTCAGTCTCGGCAAGCTGTTTTGGGGGGTTGTTTTCACGCCAGAACAGCTACCTACAGGTTCTTCAAGATGTTACAATCCCACTTTACTGGAGGGAGGGAGAGGCAAAAAACATACTGAAGCTGAGAGACACAAAACAAACATAGGCAATGCTTAAAAGGAGGCGCGACTCAAGCAAAGAGGAGCTCCGGTGCCCTGAGGTTCAAACTTCAGATTAGGAGCGCTCAGTGAAAACCAGCCCTAGTACCGCGTCTACAGAACAAGGGCACGTGCTCTATTTTTACCCTTTCACAACTTCTCACGTGGACCCTGCTGAAGTTTAGTCTCCGGCCTGGGCCTGGCTCCTGCCAATGGGATTTTTAAGAACTAAAAAGCAATCGAGAGTTTTTGGATACGGAAAGACCCGCAGCCTGAGTCTTGGGGAGGATGGTGCTGATGTAGCTCTGTGGACTCAGTCACAGCTGCAGAATCAGACAGCTACACTGCCTTGCCGTGCCCTCAAACCAAGCTAGCGAGCGGGCTCTTAAAGAGAATCCACTAGCTTAGACACTGAGGGGCCTGAGGGGATGGGTCCCAAGTAAGCTGGGTCCTTGAGGAATCCAAACAGAAGAGGAGCAGAACTCAGCTCCCCCACGCTCTCCTCAACTCCACTTCCCTGGGGAAACGCAGCAGTCGCACCTGGGGGGCTGGAGAACACAGAAGGGAACAAAGGAGCTGTCAGAAGCTTGGGAGTTGCCCCAGGCACTTCCAGAGAGTCCAGGACGTAAGTTGTTTGTTGAGCAAAGAGCACGTGCCCAGCTCTGTACAAAAAGCTGAAAAACACTGTCCCCACAGCACAAGTTCCTCTTCAGCAAGGCTGCGTCCACAGCAGCGCCTGGCCTGACACGGGGCCACCACCTCGTAAAGAACGGTGGAGGCAGGAATAGCGTCCTCCATTCGTTAGAGAGGAGCAGGTGACCTTCCAAATGGGAGGAGGGCAATAACAACCACGGCTTTACAGCGCTGATCACTTCTCTCTGCTCTGGGATTCATCCTTGCTCCTTGGCAAAGACGGAGAGATGCACCAATGGGGCAACAGGCAGGAGCTACATTCCCCCGACTGCTTGCCTCACCCATGCTCCAAAGGCTATCTGAGCTTTGCAATGCCGCAAAAGAGATGATTGAAGAAGCTGTCAGCCCAGAAATGGATAGTAGCTCTTTCCACCCTTTACTATGTGGGAGAAATAACTAACAGTTACCAATTATGCAGGAGGGCTACTTGCTCTCCATGCTTTGGCCTTGAACAGAGGTTAAAAAAAAAAAAAAGTTTTGCAGACAATATAATGAAAGCTGCAGCCCATTTCTAATGCCCCCAGATCACCCCCTTGCAGTACTAGTCCACAGGACTATGTCACTAGTGCTAAAACCACCCAAAAAGATTCAGGTGCCAAAGAGCAGTTACTGGCCGTTCATTTTATCAGATTCTTGCTCGCAATGGCATATAAAACCCCCATAGTTCGGTGGTAATGGCAGCAGCTTACCAGGCATCAGGAGTGTCAGGGAGTAAAAATTCTAGCCCATAATATTTAAATATTTTCTCTAAACAGTTCAGTCATTGTCAGTATCGAGGCTGAGCGGATCATTCAGAACACCACATTTATTAACTGAACTTCGCCTCCATTGACAAAATGTTCATGAGCAGAGTGTGAAATTCTCGTAAGTATTAGTTATCTGGGAAGTCGCTCCCAAATCTGTGTGGCACTTGTCTTCCTATATGAATGGGTCACAAGCAGTTTGCTGCAAATATTCAATACCTGAACTTCAGAACTTGGGCCACGCTGGTCACCTTCACAGGCGATAGGGTACTATTTCTGTTCCCTCGTGGGATGACAGATGTAGCTAGTCACGGGAGTGCAAATTATATTCAAAAGATGCTAGTCAAAGCTGGCTTTTCATGGAACATTTGGTCTGGGCAAGATTTCATCTCAGTTAAGCTAGACTGCTGCATTAGTCACAAAGAAGTGACCACAAATTTGTTTTTGAATTTGGATGTTATCGGAAATCTTCCTCAACTTTCCACTTGATTCTAGTCACCACTCTCGTGCGAAACCCCTTCTGACAAGTTTCAACACTCTGTTGTGTGACGGGGAGGGGTAAATCTAGGAAATGGTACTGAGTACCTGTGACCGGCTTAGAGTGGGGAAAAGAAGAGGGAACTCAAATTGTGAAGCAGCTTGTAGAGAATAGACAGGAAAATGAACACAGCAGCAGGGCCTGTTGTGACAAAGTGCAGGCCCAAACGTCTGAATATCCCCAGTGACCAGCAGGCAGTCAGCAGAGAAAAGAGCTGGGAATGTGCCACAGGAGGCACAGAAGGGCTGTAATTCTGGCCAAACGCACCAGGAATGTGAAGTTGTGGAGGGAATATATTGAATTTGTCTCTCACCTCCTTCCTACACTGTATTGCAAGATGCTGCCCACACAGAGAGCGAGCAGCAGATGCAGGCACAGTTTTAGTGAGAGGTTTAGGGAGGAAGTGGCTGGGGGTGGTGAAAGAGCTCCAAATAGGGGGGGAAGCAGCATGCTCAGTGTTAAAAAGCCTCTCAGATGTTCACTGTTGAGTCATGCGAAGGCACAGCACACAAGCTGCCCTGTGTCAACAATCTGCATGTGAAAGAGGGAAATAGAGACTACAGACCATTCCTCCACTGCAGGAGGAAAAATGAAGCCCAAATATTTGAGAAGAGGCGTTCCACAGGAGCAACTCAGTATGGTGCATAGCACTGAGTGAGCCCAAACCCAGAGAATGCTTCTTAAATCCGCACTAGGCGAGAGAGAGTTAGGGGATGTCCCACAGATCTGCCAGATCTAGTTGTTTAAGCCCTGGCCATCTTCGGGCTGCTCTGCTCAGTACGCAGAGTACCATTTTTCCAGGTGTGGGTATGCGGTCTGTACCTGCAGATTTAGGAGGAAAAAGATGGGCCAGGCACTTCCGCCAAGGTCAAATTTCTGTTGTCAAACTTCATCTCCCTGTCTCTCTTGAGCAGAGAGTTAGAACAGTCACTGTCAGAAGTTTTCACTGATACTCCGAAAAAAGCAGCATGTGAAATAACCCGCCTCCAGCAAGGGAAAGGGAGTTACTCCTTCACCTTTCGGTAACTCAGAAACTAGCATCCTACCTTCACTGAACAGAAGTTTGAGGGTTACCAGCAGGTCATCAATTGCAAAACTAAACATCTTTCTACATCAAATCCTGAGTTATGCAAGGCAGGTTTGGTTGGGCTACCACATCACACACGTTCTGGGAACCCTCCTACCCCACTACAGTTACGTGTGTTCACTGCCAAGTTCCAGAGAGCATGATACCTGAATGTATCATCTGCTAGAGCCAGCCAATCACCCCTTCCCATTTGCAGCAGCATCAGGCTATATTCATTAATTGGCTATGCTTGTTAGTTAACTAAACTATATAACAAAGGGATGGTGCCCTTCAGACTCCGATTTGCCAGTCCGCAGCTATTAACATGCCTGCTTGTACAAAGCCGCCAAGAAAGGAGGGAAGTGCCCACACAGACACATGTGTGAGGGTGTAGGGGGAGGGAATGGGAGAAGCAAACTGCAAGGCAGTGTTAATTAGAAAGCCAATATCCATCACAGGAGGGCAAATCACAAGGTGAATGCTTTACATCATTCTAACACAAGAACAAAGAGACTTCCCCCAGCCTGAAGTGGAATAGAGCAATGCTGGAGACAGCAGAGTGAAAGGAGAGTGATTTGGAGGAACACCACCTCATGTTCTTAGCTCTCTTGCTCTACCAGCATCTGCACACTAGAGTCCTAAGGTAAGAATTTCCAGCCTCTCTACCGAGATCCTAATAGCCCCCACTTAGATCACAGATTGTAAAATGTTCCAGAAATATACCGTCACTGGATTTCCAGCCAGGCCCTGGCAATCAGGTTCAAAGACTCACAAGGGGGTATCTGTCAATACGCCAGCCAAGGACATTAGGGAAGCAAAGACACCTGGTGGAAAACTGAGATTTAAATGAGAGCCCAAGTAAAGCACTGGCTGAATCTACCTACTGTCTCCTGAGATGCTGGTCAGTTTCAGACAACTCCAGTCTCGCTTGCGGGGTCTTGTTCTAGGCAGAGGCGACTTGCTGCTCTTCAGAACAGGAAGCGTCAGTACAGAAGGAACACTGAAGGAAACCAAGCCAAAACACAGACTTAGGGGGGAAAGGAAAAGCTGAGGCTTTTTGGCACAGGTCTTACAGCTTCTCAGTTCCTGCCATATTAGAAGCATATCCCAAGAGGTGTGGGAGTTCCCCCTGTCTATGGAAGGGAGGCAGAGCTTTCTTTGCACTAGGGGCAGTCCTTCCTGAGATAAGTAAAGTTAAGAATGTTTGCAGGATTGGAGAGTACGGGCCTGGCTCTCTATTACAATTTACACCAGTTTAATTTTTTTAAAAATATTTTAATTACACCAGAGCAAACCCTGTGTGGACACCGTGAAGTTAATTTAAACTTGGCTTATAACAATTTAGCTTAAAGTCAGTAAGGAATCTCAGTCTCTTTTGAGAAAGCAGAAGGCGGGGGAGGGAATGGCAGACTGTTGATTTCTGGTCGGAGACCTGGTGAACCAATATAGATCATCCTGTTTTAAAAAAATAAGTTAGTCATTTTCTGCTCATTTGCACATGCATCAGTCTGCAGCCTGACCCACAAAGAAGGCATGAAGCTGGGGCTGCAAACTTAATGTGAGAAAGAGGCAACCACAACACCACCCTGCACTTTAAATACATTTACACCAAAAGATTGAGTGGTCTCCAGCCTCCTGTTCAAATCAGCATTTTGCCCTGGAACACTGTAAGGGCTTCAAAGAGAAGCACATACACCCAGGGTCTTTATTGTAATGAAACTGAAGGGAGTATTACATAAGAGTCAGGTCAGACAACGAATAAAACACAGGTGCTTGTCTAAACTACTGTATTCACTGTTGCTACCACCAGTTCTGGGTTATGGCTACCATGTTTGCTACTATACACACAGCCTATATGCTGCTAGGAAGGCAGTGGAGAAACACCAGGCAACAGCCCAAAACTGAATTATGGGAAGTGTGTTGTCACATTTTGAGATTACATTACTCTTTTTTGCCGCCCCTTCCTCTGCTCACTTTAGGCATCAGCTGTTAATAACAGCAGCAAAGACAACACCGCTGCACACCGCAATTTGTCAGTCAGAAAAAATACCACCATTATCATATGGATTTAAACCCTCAAAGCCAAAACCAAGTGAATTCACAATCGGGCTCTCCCCTTCATCCTCCCTCCCGGTGCCAAGATATTAAAACGCATGCATTATGTATGCTCTCCTGCTGTCTGAGAGCATGGAGCCACTTCAGCCTGACCCGCCGGTGCCCTTGATTGTGTGCCCCTCAGACAAACCTGAACATAGCTGGCTTTGGGGAGGAGGGAGAGGGAAGGTGCCTCTGTTGCACTGGAGATTTAGGGGAACTGTGCAGCATTCTGGGGGTTGCTGATCTGCATGCACATGAACGGGGCGTGTTAACGCTGGGCCATAACAGTGCCAGGGCTGCCCAGGAGTGACTGGCAGCCGGGGGGGGGGGAGCAGTTATCCCCACCCCCACATCTGCACACACGCCAGCCCCGGAGCGGAGCAGGGGCTCTGGGCCTGGCCGAACCCCGAGCCCAGCAGCCTGCCGGGGTCCCTGCCAGGGCAGGGCATCAGAGGGGCAGCGCCAGCCGGTGACAGCATCTCCCCTGCGGCCAGGGCAGCCAGAAGGGGCAGGCAGACGGGCCAGCCCTCCGGCAAGACCCGGAGCAGGACTGAAACTGACCTAGGAAGCACAGAGGGGGGGCGCATAGGGGCTCCGCGCGGGGGGGGGCGC